CAAAAGCCCAGGGCCAGATGGCTTCCCAGGGGAATTCTACCAAACATTTAAAGAAGAATTAATACCTATTCTTCTGAAACTGTTCCAAAAAATAGAAATGGAAGGAAAACTTCCAAACTCATTTTATGAGGCCACCATTACCTTGATCCCCAAACCAGACAAAGACCCCATCAAAAAGGAGAATTACAGGTCAATATCCTTGATGAACATGGATGCAAAAATTCTCACCAAAATACTAGCCAATAGGATCTAACAGTACATTAAAAGGATTATTCACCACGACCAAGTGGGATTTATCCCTGGGCTGCAAGGTTGGTTCAACATCCGCAAATCAAACAACGTGCTACAATACATTAACAAAAGAAAGAACAAGAATCATATGATCCTCTCAATAGTTGCAGAAAAAGCATTTGACAAAGTACAGCATCCTTTCTTAATCAAAAGTCTTCAGAGTATAGGGATCGAGGGTACATACCTCAATATCATAAAAGCCATCTATGAAAAACCTACAGCGAATATCATTCTCAATGGGGAAAAACTGAGAGCTTTCCCCCTAAGGTCAGGAACGCAGCAGGGATGTCCACTATCACCACTGCTATTCAACATAGTATTAGAAGTCCTAGCCACAGCAATCAGACAACAAAAAGAAATCAAAGGCATCCAAATTGGTAAAGAAGAAGTCAAACTCTCACTCTTTGCAGATGATATGATACTTTATGTGGAAAACCCAAAAGACTCCACCCCAAAACTGCAAGAACTCATACAGGAATTCAGTAAAGTGGCAGGATATAAAATCAATGCAGAGAAATCAGTGGCATTCCTATACACCAACAACAAGACAGAAGAAAGAGAAATTAATGAGTCGATCCCATTTACAATTGCACCCAAAACCAAAAGATACCTGGGAATAAATCTAACCAAAGAGGCAAAGGATCTGTACTCAGAAAATGATAAAATATTCATGAAAGAAATTGAGAAAGACACAAAGAAATGGAAAAACGTTCCATGCTCATGGATTGGAAGAACAAATATTGTGAAGATGTCAATGCTACCTAGAGCAATCTACCCATTCAGTGCAATCCTCATCAAAATACCATCCACTTTTTTCAAAGAAATGGAACAAATAATCCTAAAATTTGTATGGAACCAGAAAAGACCCTGAATAGCCAGAGGAATGTTGAAAAAGAAAAGCAAAGCTGGCAGCATCACAGTTCCGGACTTCCTGCTCTATTACAAAGCTGTCATCATCAAGACAGTATGGTACTGGCATAAAAACAGACACATAGATTAATGGAACAGAATAGAGAGCCCAGAAATGGACCCTCAACTCTATGGTCAACTCATCTTTGACAAAGCAGGAAAGAATGTCCAATGGCAAAAAGACAGTCTCTTCAACAAATGGTGTTGGGAAAATTGGATAGCCACATGCAGAAGAATGAAACTGGACCATTTTCTTACACTGCACACAAAAAAAGACTCCAAATGGTTGAAAGATCTCAATGTGAGACAAGAGTCCATCCAAATCCTAAAGGAGAACACAGGCAGCAACCTCTTCAACCTCAGCTGCAGCAACTTCTTCCTAGAAACATCGCCAAAGGCAAGGGAAGCAAGGGCAAAAATGAACTATTGGGACTTCATCAAGATAAAAAGCTTTTGCACAGCAAAAGAAACAGTCAACAAAACCAACAGACAACCGACAGAATGGGAGAAGATATTTGCAAATGACATATCAGATAAAGGAGTAGTATCCAAAATCTATAAAGAACTTATCAAACTCAACACCCAAAGAGCAAAGAATCCTATCAAGAAATGGGCAGAAGACATGAACAGTCATTTTTCCAAAGAAGACATCCAAATGGCCAACAGACATGAAAAAGTGCTCAACATCACTTGGCATCAGGGAAATCCAAATCAAAACCTCAATGAGATACCACCTCACACCAGTCAGAATGGCTAAAATTAACAAGTCAGGAAAGGACAGATGTTGGCGGGGATGCGGAGAAAGGGGAACCCTCCTACACTGTTGGTGGGAATGCAAGCTGGTGCAGCCACTCTCAAAAACAGTATGGAGGTTTCTCAAAAAGTTGAAGATAGAGCTACCATATGATCCAGCAATTGCACTACTGAGTATTTACTCCAAAGATACAAATGTAGGGATCCGAAGGGGTACGTGCACCCCGATGTTTATAGCAGCAATGTCCACAATAGCAAAACTGTGGAAAGAGCCAAGATGTCCATCGACAGACGAATGGATAAAGAAGAAGTGGTATATATATACAATGGAATATTATGCAGCCATCAACAGGAATGAGATCCTGCCATTTGCAATGACGTGGATGGAACTGGAGGGTATTATGCTGAGTGAAATAAGTCAATCAGAGAAAGACATGTATCATATGACCTCACTGATATGAGGACTGCTTAATCTCAGGAAACAAACTGAGGGTTGCTGGAGTGGGGGTTGGGGTGGGAGGGATGGGATGGCTGGGTGATAGACACTGGGGAGGGTATGTGCTATGGTGAGCACTGTGAATTGTGCAAGACTGTTGAATCACGGATCTGTACCTCTGAAACAAATAATACATTATATCTTAAGAAAAAAAAAAAAGAAGAAGATAGCAGGAGCAAGAATGAAGGGGGCAAATTGGAGGGGGAGACGAACCATGAGAGAGGATGGACTCTGAAAAACAAACTGAGGGTTCTAGAGGGGAGGGGGGTGGGAGAACGGGTTAGTCTGGTGATGGGTATTAAAGAGGGCACGTTCTGCATGGAGCACTGGGTGTTGTGCACAAACAATGAATCATGGAACACTACATCAAAAACTAATGATGTAATGTATGGTGATTAACATAACAAAAAAATTAAAAAAAAAATTCAAGCCTACAAACGTCAAGTGGGCCATTTATGGCAATCATCCCACATTTCCCTAAGTGCACTGTTTTCCCCTTCTTTGGATGGTGTTTCCAGCCTCTCCCCTCTTCTCAGAACCCCACACCGCCTTCTCTACCTTCACTCTCAGCACATGACCATGTTCCATCCACAGAGCTCCCAACACCAGACCCACTTGCTTGCCTTCTCTCCTGCTAGTGAGGCCCCTCTGCCCATGGCCCTGTCCATGGTCCACTCCTTCACATACAATCCCACCCCCCCACCATTCAAGAACATGGCCCCAGCAACTGCCCTCCTTTCATCTCCATCTCCCCACCCCACCCCTGGATTACTCCAGCCAGGATACCAGAATGCTGCTACTTCTCTCTTAAAAAACAACTACATTTTTTCTCTCCTTTCTTTATAGCAAGATGACTTGAAAGAGTTGTAAATACCACTGTGTCCAATTTCTCTCCTTCCATTCTCTGTGAACTTGTCCTACTCAACCTTCTGCCTCTTTGCCCCACACAACCACACTCTCATCAAGATCATCCATAACGTTGTATTGCTAACTTGAATGGCCAATGCTCAGGACTCATCTCCCGTGACAGAGCCTATCACTCCCTCCACCCTGAAATACCTTCTCCACTTGGCTTCTAGATGCCATACTTTCCTGGTTTTTCTCCTACCTCTCTAACAGCTCATTCTGTTTCTTTTGGTGTTTTATTATCATCATCCTGACCTCTAACTACCAGAGGGCACCAAGACTCAGACTTTGGGCCTCTGCTCTTTTCTATTCTTGCTCACCCCCTTGCTGCCTGCATCTAATTGCTCGGCTTTAAATACCATCCACATTCTGGGGCCTCCAGCTTGGACGTTTCTTCTGAACTCAGAGTCATCTTTCCAGTGGTTTTTTGACTCTCCCTTGGGTGTTGAACAGGCACTGCAAGCTCAAGATGTTTGAAATTGCTCTTCCCCTACTCCTGACAAATCTACTTCTCTTCCATCTTCCAGCAACCCCATTTCAACATCCCAGGTGGTGGCTAGCCCCATCTCCTACAGGTTGTACAAATGTAGCTGTAAGCATGCACTCTGATGTCGGATGGCTTGCCCGTTCATTCATTTGGTGTCAATTTCTCTAGAGGCCTCAGATGTTCATCTTTGTAATGGGGTTGATGTAGTGTCTATCTGGTGGGCATGTGGTGAGCTCCAAATGGGAAAATGTATGCAAAGCATTGAGCACAATGTGTGGCTATGACAGGTACCATAAGCCTAAGTCACATGAGACCCAAAGAACCTCCTAAGCTACAGAACAAAGGATTGCATAGATTCTCACTTTTGTGTAAGGCAGCATTTGCTTTAGCAAATCCTTGACATCTGACTCACAGCCTGATCCTGTCGATGACCTTCAGCTTCCTGTCTGCTCTTCTGAATTCCTATTCTCTAGCATATGGATGTTCACATGCCAGTGTAATTCAATGACTGTTTCCTTGAAAATTTTAAGAAGAAACACATTGCGTCTCAATGTTTTCTAATGTGAAAATTCAACTGCATACTTGTATGTTAACAGATACTTCATGTGGACCAGTCCATGTGTTGGTGTGAATCAATTTCCACCAAAACATGTCAGCTGAGTTGGAATATCAAATTATACAAGTAGATATAATGGCCAAGATAGCGGAATGGCATAAAAGTATATTGTCAGTAAAACAATGTGTTCTTAGTCTCTGAGTATTGGTCAAATCCATGGATTTATGGAGATGCTTATTAACCTGGAACAGATAATTGGAATCTACCCTTCTCTTGACTAATCTTGCAGAAAAAGTGGTATCTCCCCTTTGCTTTTGATAAAATGGCTTGGGCTTGGCATGAGGCAGGACCACGCTTCTCAGAAGAGGGCTGGCTCCTTTCCTAAAGAGGGAAGGCTTTCTAGTGAGTTGCTAGGATCCACTTCTAAAGGAAACAGCCATGAAGGAGATGGGACATCTGGAGGCCGATTGTCCCCATCCACCCGGAGGCCAAGCCCATCTGTTGTCCAAACAAACTCTGTAGCCAAAGAACTCAAGGGTGGGAGTGGAGGTAAGGGGAGAGGAGTCACAGGAACTGGAGAGGGGAAGGAGCTATAGCCCTACCGTGACAAAGACGGAGGCCAGGAGTAAGCCCACGGAGTAGATGAGTCCTCTGCTGTTTAGCCGAATCTGTAAGAAAGGATGCATTGTTAGGCTTCTAAAAAGGCATCTGTTCAGTGCAGGGGCTGAAGCAACTCTGAATAGTGGTCAGTGCAAATCTCTGTTTTAGGATGGCAAACAAAAGGGAGCTTCGACAGCCATGCTCTGCCTCTGGGAGCAGGGACGTGCACCTTCCTAGGACAGCCAGGGGCTCCCTTGTCTAGTCCCCTCTCAGTCCAACCCCATTCATCCCTCCAGAGGCAGTGCCCACTGGGCTGCCCCATGGCCACTTGAATTCCCTGTCGTGTGTGGCCTGATTCTTGGTGCCCACAACACTTCCCTGTGGACCTGGCCTCCAGGGAGCATTCTTGACATACAACTTTTAGGATAAATCTCGTGACATGAGGGATGCGAGCAATATTTTGAAAAAATATTACTAAACTTTTTATCTCTTTTGCATTAAATTGTCTGTGAACTGCCCCCAGACTTGATGGGAAGAGATGGATGAGTCTTGCTCTTGTAAGCAAGCAAAGAAGATAAAAGAGTTAACATTCCATTCCTGATATTCGTAAAAGGATTTTGTTTTGTCTTTCAGAGTAAGACAGTGGGGTTAGCTGCCAAACACTGAAGAGAAAGAGAGAAACAATTTTTGGAATTCTTATAAAATAGCGCTGTCCAGTAGAACTTTCTGCCATAATGAAAATGTCCTGTATCTGTGTTGTCCCATATGGCAGCCATTAAGCACATGTGGCTCATACAACTGAACAAAAATTTTAATCTTATCTTCAATTAATTCAGATTTACATTTAAAGAGACACATGTGATTAGTGGCTGCGGTATTGGGCAGGGCCCAATATTTAGAGGCCAACCGGGCCAAAAAATATTACAGAGTTTCTTTCATAGTGTAGAGAAGATGTCCCTTCTGCCTTGTCCTAGGTCAAGGTCATGAGGTAGGCTACCCTGAAATAGGAAGTATGCCTTAGAGCAGCCATGCTCAAAGCGTCCTCCCTGGACCAGCATCACCTGGGGTCTTGTTAGAAATGCAGGAACTCAGGCTGCACCCAGACCTCCTGAATCAGAAACTATGGGGATGGGCCCATCCAAGTGTTTTAATAAACCCTCCAGGTGGTTCTGATGTGTGAGAAAGTTTAAGAAACACTGACTTTAAGCCACTACTGAGGCTAAATCCACTTCTGATCTCCATGGGTTTTGGGGCTGGGACTCTGACATTCATTTTCACCAGTTCTCTTGGAAAGTCTTATCTGCATGGAGGTTTGGGGACCATAGAGCTCCCCACCAACATACACTGTCCTGCTGGGAGTCAAAGGCTCCATCTGTATCCACAGGAAGGAAAAGCAAGGCAGGTTGATCATTTCATTAGAGAACTGAGTGGTTATTAGTAGAAGTGGTTTGGGGCCCTTCTGACAAGGCTCAAGGCGCCTCTTGCCACCCTTTTACCAGTTCAACCCTGGGGTGTAGGTATGGGAACATGTGGGTGTCTCTGTAGGTGGGTGTGTTCGGTTTACCTTTTGGTGACAGGAAACTCCATGCCCTTAACAGTCAAAACCTTTGTGTGGGGACCCAGGAGCATAACATATCTCTTTATGTAATGTTCTGACCCTCTCCCCTGCTGGCACAATCCATGTGAGCCAACCATCTGCTGAACTGCAGCTGGAAATTATTCCCAGCCACCAAATGCCTTTTTAAGAGCAAAGGACTCAAATCATCTCTCTCAGAAACCCTTTTGAACTCTTAATTGTCAACATTGCATGGATTCTGCTAAGCACGTGGCCAGTGCATTCCCAGCCCAGCTCACCCTTTGAGCTCTAGGGTTGAATCCTTGTCAGCAACAAGAATTGAGTAAAGTGATTTCCTGCCCCTAGGAAACCAAGAGCCAGTGACAGCCAAGCTCTAAGCAGGAAAATTCTCTTTGGCCAAGCCTTCTGTCTTCAAAATCAATCATATTCAATTAGAGTTTTGGAACTTTACTCTTCCTCCACTGACATAAAATCTCAAACAGTGGTGCTTCTAAAATTGTAAATCTGGCTCCAAAGACTAAGGACAACTGACTTGGTGGGGTTTCTGAGTATTTTTTACGTTTTCACCTTTTCCTCTGCAGTGTCCCTTTGGTAACAGATTGCCACATGCACCCAGGGGTTACTTCTGTTTTTTTCATTCATTACAGACCGGGACTCTCAAAGCCTGTATTGATTCCTTGCTATCTGAATCCCCACCTCCACATGTACATGACAGTCAGGAATTAGGTTTCCTTCAGTTGCCTGTGGGTCCAACTTGAACATCTCCCAATCACTGGAGACTATGGATGGTTTGGGGCAAGAGTTGGCCAACAAAATCTGGCCCATCGCCTGGTTTTGTAGATGAAATTTATTGGAGCTCAGCTCATTCATTTGTATATTGTCTACTTCTGCAGTGGCAGAGTCGAGAAGTTTCATAGAGACCATATGGCCCACGAGGCCTAAAATATTTCCCCTCTGGCCCTTTCCAGAAAGTCTGCTGACCCCCGATTTAGGGCACGGACTCCAGATCCAGTTCACCGAACCCCTTCTGAATCCCTGCTCGGTCACCAAGTTGCTATATCATCATGGAAAATGACTTAACTTCCCCATGCCCCAGTTTTCTGAGAAGTAAAATGGAGATAATACAATTCTCATCTCATGAGGTGGTTGTGAGGATTAACTGAATTAATCCATGTTAAAAAGCTTGAACAGGATCCAGTGTATAGTGAGTTCTCAATGTGTCTGGGCCATTATTCTCCATTCAACTCATGAGCTGCCTAATCCCTTCCCTGGTACCCCTGGCTGCTTCTTTTATAAACCCACCACCCAGCAGGCCCCTGATCAAAGCCTCAGTAGATGACAAACACCATAAGGACGGGGGACCACGTCTGACTTTATCCTCTGCTGGGCACAGGGCTGAGCAAAGACCACATGCTTCAATATGTAACCAATGAACAGACAATGAATCTATTTCCTTGCAGAAGTGAAATGGAGCAGGGTGGACTGCTCAGAGAGAGGCTGGGAGCAGGGAGACCCTGGCTGCCATTTCTGGGTGGTATTCCAGGAGCAATGCAATCCTGTCCAACATTCACTGTCCCCTTTCCCCACTTTATTATTTTTTTTTAAGAATGCGTATAGCCTTTTTTTCACCTAACATTTTATTATGAAAGTTTTCAAGCATTCAGAAAAATTGAAAGAATGACACCATTTTATTATATCATTTTACCAAAGGGCTTGATTATAGTTCAAAGGTCTTTTGTTTCTAGATGTAATTTCCATATGGTGAAATTCACAAATCGTGATTGCACTGTTCAGTGGGTTCTGAGAAATGCATATACCTATGTTACCTCAACTGTGGCCATGATAGAGACCACTTCCATCCTCCCCAGAAAGTTCTCTTGTTCCCTTATCAGTCTCACCCAGGATCAATCACTGCTTCTAAGCTTAGCCCGTCCAAGAAACTTCATATAAAAGGAGCCCTATAATGTGCGTTCTTTTACACCAGGATTCTTTTACTCAGCATAATTTTTAAAGATTTCTTCATTTCCTTCGTATTTTTCATTGCATCAATAGCTCATTTCTTTTTATAACAGCATAAATATATCACAGCTTATTAATTATTCTCTTGTTTATGGACATCTGGCTTGCTTCTAGTTTGGGCTATTAACATGCATTGGTTTTATAATTCACAAACACAACGAAAAGAGACCTACAGTGGCCCCTCTCACCCACAGGAGAAGCAGGAATGGAGATAATGAAGACAGCCAGGGGGTCTGCTGGGACCTCAAACACACTCATGCACCGGGATCCTCTCTCTCTAGCTGCACTAGGAGCCTCTCCAAACAGGGGAGATCCACTTTCCTCACCTTAGTACACTTCTGTCTCCCTTTTGGACCCTCAGTCTTGTCAGATGGGGTGCATACCTCCTTTTTACCTCCCTCTATTCTGCCCATCCCTCCCTCAGTCCTTTTGTCTCTTCCAAGTTCATTGAGCCCTCGCAGGCCCTATCCTCACTTCTGATGCAGATCATGTCCTGACCTTGCCTGGGTAGCCTTCTTACCTCCCCAGCTCGTCCCACTGCTCTGATGGCAGATGCCTGGGTCTTCAGTTTTTCCTCCTTCCACCTAGCACCTAGCTCCCCACTTGTCTACATATATTGTACGTTTAAATAAACATCTGCGGGTGATGCTGAGCATGTGTGTATGCTTGTGCACGTGTGTGCACACACATGGGGTGTGTGTGCACATTGGAGGTAGTAAGGCTGGGTGGCAAGGGCCAAGATTTCAGAGCTGGATGAGGAGACTGATGTGGGGGTGGTTTTAAGCTGATCTTTTTAAGCAACACAGTGAGAGGGCACCAAAATAGGTTTTTTTGTAAAAAAAAAAAAATGAGGCATAATTTGCATACAGTAAAGGCTCAAATCTCTCCTACTGGCTAAGTTTTGACAAATGCATGTACCCATGTAACCCACATCTCAGCAAGATATAAAACATTTCCATCACCCCAATAAGTTTCCCAAAGGGCAGCAAATTTAACTCAACCCCCTTAAAATCTAGTTTCTTGGATCGTGCAAGCCAGCAATAGCACGGACCCGTCTCATCTCTGAACTACCTTTGCAAAAGACTTGAAGCTCTAGCCGTGCATAGTGTTGATCTAAACAATGGTTTCCCTGCTTCCTGAGTCACAGATACAGGGTCCATTAAGTGCAAATGCAGCAAATCTCCATGGCAATGCCCACCAAAGAGCATGCAAGGTACAACTGCCCTGACATTGAACACTGTTTTTATTTCTTTCCTTCAAAATACGGAATTCATTCTCTAATTCCCTCATGGCAATTGTTGCAGAGAAAACAGAAGGCTGGCTGGTTGCCAAGTCAACAGAAATTTAGCCCATGATGCATGTATATTTTTTCATCTGCATGCACACACAGACACCCATTCAGACCTAGCTTTATTTCTGCACACGGTTCATAAGTAGTTCCCTAAATCCTACAGTTTGGGGATCCAAAATCTC